TTACTTATTTTTGCATTGTTAAAGTTAAAACTGATGGGTTTTCCTATGCTCAATAAATGATCTAGCACCACACTGTATGTAAAGAAGTAAGGATATTTATGGGACTCGGGAGATGGCTCAGCAGTTAAGAACACTGTTCTTGCATGAGACCTGCATTCGAATCCCAGCACCCACATGGCCACTGACAACTGTCCATAACTCCAGTTCTGGGGGATCCAATGGACTCTTCTGTCCTCCGTGGGCATTGCATGGCATGGGTGCACTTACCTACAAGCAGGCAACATATACATATACATAAATTAAAAATAATATTTTTTTTAAAAAAAAGAACCAAAGGAATGGGATCATGGTGGCCCTTGATCCCAGCACAGGGAGGCAGAGAGAGGTGGATCTCTGTGAATTCAAGGCGAGACAGATATTAAAAAGCACTTCAAACAATGAACTAGAAAAAGTGTAGTTTTTCATAATATTCTCTTGCTTTTATATGGAAAACTTCTTAAAAAATTAAATATAAATAGTTTTCAACAATTTACTTGGCTTATCTGTGTATAACCATTAAATAAGGTTAAAATTATATTGTGATTAGATAGCTCCTTTATAATATTACTAAATTAATGTTTTGTGTCCATACTTTACATTTAGTAGATCAGAGATGAGAAATGTTGACTCAAGTAATGTTTATGTGCTTCCAACACTTGGCAGATTACAGATCCAAACAACAAAAGATTTGAAGTTCCTCATCAGTTTGTAAAAGAATTCAATGGACCCTCATCTTCTGAGACACTGTATAATGTGCAGGTTACAGATAATCCATTTACCCTCAAAGTTATCAGGAAAAGCAACAACAGAATCTTGTAAGTCGTGCTTGTATTTTTCACATATATGAATTCCAGGAAGAGGCCAGTGTTAATGCCAGTACATTATAACAAGGAATACATTAATTTCCTCAAAAAGAGTGGAAATAAAACTTTGCAGGGACTGTGAAGATAAGCTAGTTTTAATTCCTATGGGCAAAAGGAGAAAACACTAACTGATGCCAATCAAAGGCAAAGGTGGAAAAAAATCACGGGTAAAGTTTAGCATTGCTTGTAATTATTCCCATGTTATGCATGTTATCCTCATTATTTATGCTTTCCTGAAACACTTTTCAGGATGAAATAGTTGCTACTCAGGAAGGTATTAAGTACCATTGTAATATTTAAAAATTACCATGCACACTTTAAGTTAAATATACACTTAACTCTTTCTCTTAGATGTATTGGCTGAGGGTGAGATGTAGTCGGTGCAAAGAACTTCACAATTTCCTACAAAAAGTTAAACTCTATGCTGCTTTTTGCATGAACTCTTGTGTGGGGGCTTTGGGGAGGGTGCAGATAGGACAGAGAGTTTAAATAAGATTAAGAAGTATTGTATGCAGCACTTGGGAGGCAGAGGTAGGTGGATCTCTGTGAGTTCAAGGCCAGCCTGGTCTACACAGTGAGTTCCAGGACAGCTGGGTCTACAGGGAGACCCTGTCTCAAAAAGACCAAAAAAAGAAAGAAAAAAAATTATTGTATGAAATGCACAAAAACTCAATAAAATAGGCTCAAAAATTCAAAGTTCATGTTCTTGTTACCAAGAATGTTAATTAACTTGTTGCCACCACCAAATCTTAGAAATATAATTTCACTAGCCATATGTGCAGTTTAAAAATTTTGCTTTGCTTTGTACTAGATGATAAAAGATATTAAATTCAGGGCTGGAGAGACGGTTCAGCGGTTAAGAGCACTGACTGCTCTTGCAGAGGACCCGGGTTTGATTCCCAGCACCCACATGGCAGCTACAAACCATCCTTTACTCCTGTTCCACGGGAATCCGAAGCCCTCTTCTGGCCTCTGCAGCATTGTATGACATGGGTGCACTCACATACATGCAGGCAATACACTCATACGCATGAAATGAAAAAAAAAGAAATCAACAGATA